CCGATTATATCGTGCATCCCTACTCTTTGGTGCATTGTCCAAATGTTATGGGTGGCAGAGACTCTGTAAAACTTAAAGTTTAATGCACATCAAACCGTTAATATTATTATTTTTTCAAAACATAAACAAAACTAAAAGTACATTTCTTTCACTGCGCAGTTCTTTAAGGTTGAACATGTTGCACAGCTTTTTGCTTAATTGTATTTTTCCTTACAGGTTTTGTCGACATATTTTCTAAGAGCAAAGACAGATTAGGATCTCACGCCTCGAAGATCCTCAAATTCCTACACAGGAACCGTATTCCCAGCAGTGCCATCCCTTTCCCCATTTTAGAGGGCTACAACAGCATCTGCACCATGAGGTCCAGTGTGGTTCAAGACTTCTTGGAGTTCCTCCTGCAGAAGGAGAAAGGTGATTAACAGCACAAGGTTGTTTAGGAATGTTCTGACGATTTTTACTAAGTTTTTGATCCTTTTTATTCCTTTTTATTATTGTGTAGTAATGCATGTTTACTTCCTTGCTGCTGTGGAGAAACTGTCCTCACTGGAGCTGATTTCTTTCAGATTTAGATATTCAGTACAGAGCAGCGCTCGACCGTGATCCGGATGTAGATAAGGTCAAGGTGGTCACCCAGTGCTATAGCACTATAGAAGCTTCCTCCAATGTCCCTGACGTCTATAAGATGACCAACGGAGAAACGTCATCTTTCTGGCAGTCGGACGGCAGCGCCCGCTCACACTGGATACGGTAAGAATGCTGGTAAACATGTCTGAGTGATCCTGAAGCCACGTGTTTGTTTCTAAGCTTCCTTCCTGCATTCTGTTCCAGGCTGAAGATGAAACCAGATGTGGTTCTGAGGCGTCTGGCTATTGCCGTGGCTTCCAACGACCACAGCTACATGCCTCAGCTGGTCTCGGTATCTGTGGGGAAGACACGGCGCTCCCTGCAGGAGATCAGAGACATCCGTATACCCAGCAACGTCACGGGCTACGTGGCTCTGTTAGAGAACGCCAACATCACCCACCCCTGTGAGTGAAGGTCCATTCCTCATTCTTAAAGCCAATAACTACTCTACCTTCTTTGGTAGCTATTTAACCCTAAATAAAATCCAACATAACCCAGTAGGTCAGTAATCATCTTTTAAGTTAGTTTGTGTGTAATTTGCTGAAAATATTACTGTCAAATGAGAGAAGATGAAGCATGATAGTGGCAGAATCATGCTGTGGTGATGCTCCTCTTTAGAAGTGAGAGCAAGCTGTCATATAGGGTGGATTGGAGCTGAGCTTCACTCTGTGAACATCCAACATTAAGTTCCAATGACCCGATCAAAGTCCAGAGGATCTTAGGCAGAACTAAACAATTCATTTTCAGATACAGCCCATAAAAAAAAATCTGCTAGATTCTGCTACTTTATCATTTCTGTTGTTGGTCTATCAAATAGAAAACACAGAGGCCTCTCGTACTCCGAAAATGTTCAAGGCAGGTTTATTTAGAAAGTGTATTCTGCTGCGCTTTATAAATAAATAATAAACAATAAATCAATGCATTTCATTGCATTGATTTTATAACTCAGCCCGGGACATCTCCATTTAGCTACGGTGACTAGCTGCTAGCCGCGGCCTTCATGTAGCAGCTTCTTCTTCGTCTCCATCTCAAGCAGAAACGGTCACAGGCCAGTGGCTTCTAACGGCTCCTTTGGCAAACAGCACCGCCGTTACTCCAGTGGTTTAATTTAGGTCACCAGAGCTGGATTAGCTCTCCTCTGTCTCTGCTGCAGCAGGCGGGTTCAGGAAGAACTGTGTTCTTGGTTTGGTTTGAATCGCAGGAAGAACAAAAAAACAACAGAATATTACATTAAGCTCCTTCTGAATCATAGGAAAGGTAGTCTGACTCGGTCCAGCGTTCACAAACCTCTCTGGAGGGATTTGGTCGCTAGACTTCAGCTGCGAAGCGCTTTAGAGTCTATACAGGTGAATATTCTCAGTCATCCAGGTCATAGTCATTCCAAAAAAGTAAAAAATAAAAATCCACATTTCCAAGTTTGAAGACATTTCGCTTCTCATCTAGGAAACTTTTTTTTAGATCAAAATGTCAGAAATAGCGTTTAGTACGAAGCTTAATGCAGTAGCCCAACAAAGCCTTGTTTTTGCTTAGAAAACTTGCAAATTAAAACGGACGATCGGGTCCACCCCTTTGGAATGGGGGTCGTTAGGCTTTTTTAGTTAGGTTCTCTGTTCCCCTGTAAAGGGGTTGGGGTTGCAATGATAAGTGATTTACTGAATTGTAGGTTTTTGAAAGCTGAAACCTGAGTTCATCCCCTCCTATTAAGTTTGGTTTTTCTTTCTTGCTTTAAAGTCTAGTCTTAAAGGGGAAAACCGTTTTTTTTTTTTTTTTTTTTTACATTGGGCCCTTGATTTTACGTTATTGCATCATGTTCTACTCACCCATATTAGTTTTGGTTCTTTTGGAGCCGTTCTGAAGATATTCGGTTAGGTTATATCCAAGTAATGTCTTCCTATGGGCAACGAGTTGAAGGCACAAACTACACTGTTCATAATTTATTCTTTATGGAAGCAAGCTTTCATGACATGTAGGCGAATCACTGTCCCCCAGACATCCACGGTTAGATTTTTTATGTTTATATTTTTTTAAACAAAGTGGAGTGTGTATGACGTCATCTTCGCGCCAGACTGGAGTTGTGACATGTAGCCC